CGCGGCTCCCTTGGCCCCATCCTCGGCAACCAAGGGGACCCAAGAGCTGGTGCTGGCGGGGAGGGGAGGGACACGGGCTGGGGTGAACTCAGCCCCTCAGGCAGGGGTGGGGGGTGAAGGAGAGAGAGCTGGGGTCAGGGCAGCCTTGGACCTTTCCTGGGGGCTGGTGGGGGAAGATCCAGGGCCAGGTTGGCCTCAGCCCTGTGCACTCTCCAGTGGCTGGGTGTGGGGAGCGGGGGGACGGGCAGAGCCAGGGATGGGGCTGCCTTGGCTCCTTCCTGGCAGCAGGGAAGAGCAGGAGTTGGGGTGGTCTCAGTCCGAGGCACTCCCTGGCCAAGAGGGGAGTTGGCTAGCATAGTGAGCAGGGGGCACAGCCCCCTAGTAAAACTTAATGAAAACATTTATGTTGGTATAAGGCTGTGGAACACCCGGTTTTCTAATGAATCCTATAATTTGGGCCTTAACATCCTCACAATAGGATATATGAGGTATGTTAGGTGGAGCAGTAGCACTTTGAGCTTTCATACTACGCTAGTAGACCCATTATAAATTATTACAAAGCCAGGCATAATATAATGGTGGATGAGGCCTTTTTTAAACAATTAACAAAACTATCCAAAGCCCAAGATTTGGTGGTGATGGGGGACTTCAACTATCCAGACATATGTTGGGAAACTAACACAGCGAGGCACAGGTTATCCAATAAGTTTCTGGACTGCATTGGAGACAACTTTCTGTTTCAGAAGGTTGAAAAAGCTACCAGAGGAGAAGCTGTTCTGGATTTGGTTTTAACAAATAGGGAGGAACTAGTTGAGAACTTGAAAGTGGAAGACAGTATAGGGGACAGTGACCACGAAATAATAGAGTTCATGATCTTAAGGAAAGGTAGAAGGGAGACCACCACAATTGAGGTTATGGATTTCAGGAAGGCAGATTTTGATAAGCTCAGAGAACTTGTAGGTAAGGTCCCATGGGAAGCAAGACTGAAGGGAAAAACAACTGAGGAGAGTTGGAAGTATTTCAAAGGGACGTTGTTAAGGGCCCAAAAGCAAACAATTCCGCTGTGTAGGAAAGATAGAAAATATGGCAAAAGACCAGCTTGGCTTAACAAGGAGATCTTGCATGATCTCAAAATAAAAAAGGAGTCATATAAAAAATGGAAACTAGGACAACTAACAAAGGATGAATATAGGCAAGCAACACGGGAATGCAGGGGCAAGATTAGAAAGGCAAAGGCACAAAATGAGATCAAACTAGCTACAGGCATAAAGGGAAACAAGAAGACCTTTTATAAATACATTAAAAGCAAGAGGAAGACCAAGGACAGGGTAGGCCCACTGCTTAGCGAGGAGGGAGAAGCAGTAACAGGGAACTTGGAAATGGCGGAGATGCTCAATGACTTCTTTGTTTCGGTCTTCACCGAGAAGTCTGGAGGTGTGCCTAACGTAGTGAATACAAGCAGAGAGAGGGTAAGTTTAGAAGATAGGATACACAAAGAACAAGTTAAAAATCACTTAGGAAAGTTAGATGTCAGCAAGTCACCAGGTCCTGATGAAATGCATCCCAGGATACTCAAGGAGCTGATAGAGGAGGTATCTGAGCCTTTAGCTATGATCTTTGAAAAATCATGGCAGACAGGGGAGATTCCAGAAGACTGGAAAAGGGCAAATATTGTGCCCATCTATAAAAAGGGGAATAAGAACAACCCAGGAAACTACAGACCGGTCAGTTTAACGTCTGTCCCAGGGAAGATAATGGAGCAGGTAATTAAGGAAATCATATGCAAACACTTGGAAGGTAATAAAGTGATAGGGAATAGCCAGCATGGGTTTGTGAAGAACAAGTCATGCCAAACTAATCTGATAGCTTTCTTTGATAAGATAACGAGCCTTGTGGATAAGGGAGAAGCGGTGGATGTCATATACCTAGACTTTAGTAAGGCATTTGATACGGTCTCGCATGATATTCTTATTGATAAACTAGGCAAATATAACTTAGATAGGGCCACGATAAGGTGGGTGCATAATTGGCTGGATAACCGTAGTCAGAGAGTTGTTGTTAACGGTTCTAAATCCTGCTGGAAAGGGATAACAAGTGGAGTTCCTCAAGGGTCTGTTTTGGGACCCATACTGTTCAACATCTTCATCAATGATGTAGATATTGGGATAGAGAGTACGCTTATTAAGTTTGCAGATGATACCAAACTGGGTGGGGTTGCAACTTCTTTGGAGGATAGGGACATAATTCAAAATGACCTTAGCAAGTTAGAGAAATGGTCAGAGGTAAACAGGATGAGGTTTAATAAAGAGAAATGCAAAGTGCTCCACTTAGGAAGGAACAATCAGTTCCATACATACAAGATGGGAAGCGACTGTCTAGGAAGGAGCATGGCAGAAAGGGATCTAGGGGTCATAGTGGACCACAAGTTGAATATGAGTCAACAGTGTGATGCTGTTGCAAAAAAAGCAAATATGATTCTAGGTTGTATCAACAGGTGTGTTGTAAGCAAAACTCGTGAAGTCATTCTGCCGCTCTACTCTGCACTAGTTAGGCCTCAGCTGGAGTACTGTGTCCAGTTCTGGGCGCCACATTTCAAGAAAGATGTGGAGAAATTGGAAAGGGTACAGAGAAGAGCAACAAGAATGATTAAAGGTTTAGAGAACATGACCTATGAAGCCAGGCTTCATGAACTGGGCTTGTTTAGTTTGGAAAAAAGAAGATTAAGGGGGGACATGATAGCGGTTTTCAAATATCTAAAAGGGTGTCACAAGGAGGAAGGAGAAAATTTGTTCCTCTTGGTTTCTGAGGACAGGACAAGGAGTAATGGGCTTAAAGTGCAGCAGGGGAGGTTTAGATTGGACATTAGGAAAAAATTCCTAACTGTCAGGGTGGTCAAATATTGGAATAAATTGCCAAGGGAGGTGGTGGAATCTCCCTCTCTGGAGATATTTAAGAACAGGTTAGATAGACATCTGTCAGGGATGGTGTAGACGGAGCTTGGTCCTGCCTTGAGGGCGGGGGGGCTGGACTCCATGACCTGTTGAGGTCCCTTACAGTCCTATTATTCTATGATTCTATGATTCTATAATAACATGTGAAAGGGAAACCTATTTTGATACCCATTTCTTAGTCTTGAGGGAGCATTCACTTGACAACAAATCCCTTTCAGGAATTCCACAGTACTACTGAATAACAGGCCTTAAACTAGTGCTTTTTAATGTTCTTTACTCATGCTCAGTCAACTGAACATTTTTAAAGGGGGCAAGGATATAAATATCCACTAATACAACATGGGGGGGGGGGGGGTGTTAACAAAACCTTAACATTTGTTATACCATTCCCCAGCAACACTGAGTGCTGCTAAATTTGTGTTTAAAAGTCTTAGCTATTTGAACATGTGGTACCATGTTTTCTTTTGCAAGTGTCCCACTCCTCTACACTCAGACTAAAATATATTTATCAAATTACTGAGTTGGAAAGGTTTGTAATAAATTCTTTGGGCAGCAAGTGTTCCCCCGTTCCCTTTAAATCTTTATCTGACATTAAATAAAGCAAGTCCAAAACAGATTAATTGTCAAACAGTGATGCTCCATCTCTTCAATGTGATTTTAGATTTCAGAAGAGGAACACGTTGATGAGGTAAGGAGATGACATGGTCTTCTTCCGTCGATGTAGAAAGATAGCACAGATGATTGTCTGAAAAAGCCAATTCTACACCGTGCAAGCATGGCTTTCGCCCAGTCGCACATTATGGCCGCTAGAAGGCATCAACACAGTAGACTCATAATTCAAGTGGATGAGTACAGCTCAAACCCCACACAGGCTTTCACGTTCTACAACATTAACCAGGGACGTTTTCAGCCCCCACATGTGCAAATGTAAGTATTATAGTTTTGTTATTGTTCTAACACAGCCTTCTGAATTGTTATTAACTTTTCAGTGGGATATTTGATGGACCAGTCAGAAAGAGTTCAAAGAATGTTTTGCTTGTCTTTCTAATAATAATTACTATGATGATACAGTTCAGTCCACTGGGGAAGCATAGGTACTCTTTTCAAGGTAGGAGAGAAATCACTATGCTAGCACTATTTGATATTTATAAAAAAAGAAACCAAGAACAAGCAATGTAATTAATCTAAGAGGTTTCATATAGATAATATTTTCCACAATCTTAGTACCGTTCATCAGCATTGTGAACTGGCATTCTCATCACATGTAAATAGCTGTTGAAATAGTATTCAGCAGTTTTCAGAATAAACATTATCCTGTTGTTTGGTTAGCTATACTGCAGTTATGTATTATAAAAAAGACGGCAACAAATAAAATAGTGGGTACCCATCCAAGAGCTTACTTTAATAACAGTGTAAGGAAAATATGGAGTATTTGAGGAGTAATTAAAATAAAGTGCTTATTTTTTACTTTTTATACATAATGACGACTTCGGTAAAGTTAACTGCTCTATTTGGTGATTTACTTCTAAAGTAGAGTGTAGGATCATAATTACAAATTGAAACCTGCTAGAAGGAAGAGCAAAGCTGTTAAGCCATTACAAGTAAATTAAGTGTATTAATCCATTACACAATATTTTATAGAAAATCAAAATGTAACATATTTTACTCTATTCTTTAAAAAGAGAATTAATCTTGCATTTTGATCAGAGAACTGATTTTCATTAAAAAAACTTTGCATTTTAGCAGGACTGAATAAATTGGCTTACTTTCATTCACTACTTTTAATACATTTTGGTAATTTCTAATCACAAGGAATGAATCATTTAAAAACAACAGAGTGGATGATATATATCTTTTCAGTAATACTTTACAAACATATTGTGGTACAAATTTTACACAGTGGAAAGGAAATCGAAAGGCTAATGTGGACTCATGCCTGCATGTGGGTGGAGTTAGAATATGTAAACAACCACTCTCAGGAAGAGGTTTTTATTATATATGCCAATCACAATAGGGTTCTGACCCCTTGTTGGGGCTTTTAGGTGATAATCCAATACACATAATAAATAGAACAAATATAGTATCTGCATTAGGGAACATCTTTTGTTTGCAGAGCTAGCAAATGGTAACAGAAAACAAACAAATAAAATATTGATTCACAAATATTTTGGCAAACAGAAGTGCCAAGTTCAGATCTCTGAGATTTGTGGGGCATGTTATTCATTATTTGTGAGTATTCAGACATCCCCTGGGTATTCAAGTATATGTTTGGCAATCCCCAAAGTTGCATGAATGAGTTTTCATCACAGAATTTGGGGTGGAAATTAGTTATTCATTATTAGCCATTTGCTACACATTATTTTCTTGTTTAATATTGCCATCACCCTGCCAATGAGTGAATACAATAGCATGTGACTTTGCTGATCCACCACACAACACAGAGAATGCTCTAAAGGGAGCCGTTCACAAACATGCCATTCTCTGAAAATTGTTCCCAAAAACTGTTCATCATTCATGAATAATAAATGCACTTGAAAAAAATTAATGAACACCAGAAAATGGGCTAAGCTGTAACAAATAATATTTGTAACAGTAGTTTGACCAACTCTATTTGTCTAGACAGTAGAAATATTGAAGCATTTTTGTGAATACCCACGGTATTTATATTGCTCTTGGTTTTTATAAATTAACAGAATGGTTGCAAAGAAAGAAGAAATGTAGGCTGTCTATACTACAGAGTTTTTTCCAGGATACCGGAGGTACCCCAGAAAAACACTGCCACGTCCAGGGAATGTGTCTGCTTTTTCAGATCAGTTTCCAAAAAAGCGGATGCATTCTTTTGGAAGCCCTCTATTCCTCATTTTATGAGGAATAAGGGCTTTTCCGAAAGAGGAGGTTTTTCCCCACATTTGGCCCCATGCAGATGGGCCGAATGTCAGAAGAGCCTCTTCTGAAAAAAGAATTGGAAAAAGGTACGCAACTTGCGGTTCACAATTTGCGTATCTTTTTCCAAAAAAGAACTACAGTGTAGACATAGCCGTAATCTTGCATCTCCTTTATTCCTATAAATATTATGAATGAAATCCTGGTCCCATTTAAGTCAATGGTAGCTGTTGTATAGATTTCAGTAGGACCAGGATTTCATCCTGTTTGTGAATTATATGCTTGCAAAATCCCAAATTTAGTGATGTTACAAATGATCATGAATAAACCCCATATAAAACTTACTCTCCCCCCAAAAAAAATTTGGCCTAAACTCCTTTCTCCTCCATGCTTTTATCCATTTTCCAAAGGCCTTTCTGACATCAGCCTCACAGCTAGTACATGTTTTTTCTGGTCCTCAGTACTGTTTTGCACTCCTTGTCCTGCTTTAACTTGCACCTACATCCAAAAGTATTCCCAACCTCTCACAGCATTTTCCTGGCTCCATTTTTGTCTTTCTTGTTTCTTTGTTGCTGAGGTGCTTTGGGATACCACACTTTTATGATAATTATCACCTACTGTTTGTTAAGCACTGATAATATAATCAGAGCTGTAGAAGACACACCTGGGCTACATCTAGACTGGCCCCTTCTTCGGAAGAGGCATGCTAATTTCTAACTTTGGAATAGGGAAATGCGCGGGGGATTTAAATATCCCCCGCGGGATTTAAATAAATGTTTAAAATCCCCCCCGCGGGATTTAAATAAACATGGCCGCCGCTTTTTTTCCGGCTTGGGGAAAAGGCGGAAAAGAGCGTTTAGACTGGCGTGATCCTCCGGAATAAAGCCCTTTTCCGGAGGATCTCTTATTCCTACTTGCAAGGAATACTTATTTAAATCCCGCGGGGGATATTTAAATCCCCCACGCATTTCCCTATTCCAAAGTTAGAAATTAGCATGCCTCTTCCGAAGAAGGGGCCAGTCTAGACATAGCCATCTTGACAGTTATGCCCTGAAGATTTAAGGTCTTGATCCTGACTGTATGTAGGCAAACTTCTGCTCCTATTTGAAACCCCATGGAAGCTCTGCGTATGAACCAACCTCCAGCAACAATTGTTGTCCTGAAATTGTAGCTTTGCTCTCCAATTTATATGTAGGTTTATATGTTATTTTTAAAAGGTGGCATAGACTATAAGGACTCCATTTTTTTTTGCATTATTCACAGTGCAGACAGTTCATTGTACCTCAGTGGGGGCTACTCAAGGACATCCCATTCAGGCCTTAGGAAACTGTGTTCTACAGTATAATTAAATGTGTTTGTGACACCTGACATACATGTACACTACTGCAGGCCTGACCTTAGGGCAAGGCGAGCAAAGCGGTTACCTTGAGTGTCATGGCTTCAGGGCCCTGCACTGCAATTGACAGCTGTTTCAGTGTGAGTCAGGGGGCTAATTCAGCCTCAGAAGAAATGCCTTAGACAGTGAAAGAGCCCGATTCCTGTTGAGGGATGCCTGGCTCTGGAACACTAGCTGCAACACTAGCGGTGGTGATTGGCCCGACAGCTCCTGCACTACCCAATGGGGGCCCAGGCTTAGGTTTAAAGCCCTGCTGGAGCCCACACTCCCTTCTGTCTGCTCCCGCAGCCTGGGGCATGCCTCCCTCCACCTGCTGCTCCTGGCCCTCGCCTCCGGCTGCTGCTGCTTGCTACCCAGCCCAGGTGAGTGGGGCTGGGCTAAGCTGGGCTGGCTCCTATGACTGAGCAAAACTTACCTGGGGCTTGAGGGCAGGTGGTCCTGGGAGGGGAGCTTCCTGCTCTGGCCCCTGCAGCAGGGTGGGGGCAGTTCCTTCCCGACCCACTCTCTGGGGCTCTGCCTGCACCATGGCGTCCACAGTCTGGGCCCCACTTTCAACGTACGCCTCTGGCCCCACAAACTCTTTGGCCAGGCCTGCACTACTGTACTGGAAATGAGGTCCACCCATCTTTAATGTGTGCATTGTTTCTGTGACATTGTGGTCTGCAGTTCATTTATTTATCATATTTATTTATACCCAATAATTTTTTGGTGCTTTGTACAATGTTTCAAATAAATACATTCCTTGCAGAGCTGTGTGAATCAGAAAAATGCTTCATAAAATAAAGTTCTGAATTCTGCACAAGGAAAAGCATGTGCATTGTGTACTGCATACATTGCCATTGCAGCTGTGGTACAGTTACACGTACATGCTTCTATATATTGTAATGAAATGTGTTTAGGGTGAAGGCATTTAATGAGTTGCAAATAAGTTTATTTCATACTGCAGATTTGTGTTCTCTGTCTTCCTTACCTAAATCACGAGGAAGCTTCACAAAAGTGGGTCAGATAATTTATTGTCTTCAGGGTTGAGTCTTGAAATTGGGCACTATTCAATGCAGCACCTCCCCTTACTGCATCTGATTTTACTTAGTATAATTAAGCCCCCAAATTTGCCACAATTGTCCTGACAATAGTAAGGTTATAATATGCATTTGCAGCAGGCGTCAATAGAGTTCTTATCTACTGGTGCATTAACACACTGTGCTGTATCTCCAAAAATGTGTTAATTAAATTTGTTGGAAAAAAATGATTAGAAAAATGCATTTAAATGTATTTATATATGTGATAACTTGCTTTTCTCAAGCAATCTTTTCTCGCTTTTTTCATGTGCAATCTTTAACAATGAACATAGAATGGTATTCTTATTTTGAAATTGGAAATGCCTTTGTTTTATTTGTAAGTATCTGAAATATGAAAATAACTCTGAAACAATACCTTTTCCATTATGTCTTTAAAATAATACATCTATCCAGGCAATATTGAAGGCACTATTATATGAACTCCAAAATTCTTACACTGCCAGTTAATTCTGTAACAAAAGAGAGGATGATACAGCACTTTAAAGACTAACAAGATGGTTTATTAGGTGATGAGCTTTCATAGGCCAGACCCACTTCCTCAGATCAAATTGTGGAAGAAAATTGGCATGACCATATACACCAAAGGGATACAATTTTCTTCCACAATTTGATCTGAGGAAGTGGGTCTGGCCTATGAAAGCTCATCACCTAATAAACCATCTTGTTAGTCTTTAAAGTGCTGTATCATCCTCTCTTTTGTTACAGAATTGTTAATTCTGTGAGTTTCTTCTAAGAAGTGACTTTCATTATACAAATCCAGAATAGTATCATCTTTACTAAGAGTGAAAATTGTATGAATTGCGAAGTATATACTAAAAAGGTTATGTAGTCAACTCTATTTAATAACCTTCTCATGATGCTTTTCCCATAGGGTGGATCCTGTGCCCCATGATGCTCCCAAACCTCCAGGATATACCCGGTTTGTCTGTATTTCTGATACTCACTCAAGAACTGATCCAATCCAAATGCCCTATGGAGATGTTTTAATACATGCTGGTGACTTCACTGAACTGGGACTTCCTAGCGAAGTTAAAAAATTCAATGAATGGTTAGGTAAGTATCAGGTTACATGTCATTTTGGAAGTAAACGTGACATAATGAATGTGTTAACCCTCTCTGCTTCCTAGTAAAACATTATGCACTTAGGCATGATGAATATTAATTTAGCTTTGTGTTTGAAAGGTAACATTTAGAATTTGAATTTTTAAAAATATTTGTGTTCTTTTCAGCTGAGCAAATGAGATTTGTGTGACCATTCATCCATTCTGCCTTTTCACACTTAAGTGGGGTGGGGAATGTACAATAAGCGGCTTTGAACATTAGCTGCAATTTAAGTCAGTGGGCCTTTTATGATTTGCATAAGAATTATTGTGTATATTGTGTTATGGCTTTCCTTCTCCGTAAAAAGTTGTGGCGAGAAAAGCATTTGTCTGTTTAATACTGGAGGCTGATAGTTTTGCTGTCTGAGGCTCAGCTGCACCGGAGCGATGAATTCCAAACAAAGCAAAACGCCTGTCTGTGGTTGTTGTCTTGGATGTGGCAGACCAGATGTAGGTGCCTTCTGTGGGCAACTGTTGGCATTGATAGCAGAAATTCTGTTCCACTGGGCAGGCAAGTGGTGATTTGCATGCACTTTTACCATGTTATGTATGTGCTTTAAACAATTGCAGTTGAAATTGGAAAGAGAATGCTGCTTCCAGAAAAAAATCATGGTCTATGTCCCTGCAATACTGATACCTGCTTTAGCATAAACACAAATTCCTGTTTCTGGTATTGGTTTATCAGATACCTGTAAGTAGGGTTAAAAAAAAAACTTCTGCAAGAAGTACACATTTAAAGGGTGGAGCTTTTTTCATTAATTTATATATTCCTGTGTTTTCCTTTCTTTTTAGCTATATGCTATGGAATTTCCTGATGTGGAATTGGCTAGGAGCAGCACAAAGCTGACAGAAGCACAGAGACTGATATGCAATGTGAAAAATGTCAGGCCTTTCCAATTTAAAAAAAAAAATTGCAAGCAAGCCTTTGCTCTAATTTTGGCAGGCTCCTGTCAATAAATATTATTTTGACTTTGGAAGCCCAATATTATGCCTCACATAAAATAAGGGGGGAAAGTTATGATGCTTTAATGTAGAAACATACACACAAAAACATTTTCAGTGAAATCTGTAACAGTACATTCTACTCAATCTTTTTGTGCCCTGTCATTATAGGACAATAGGACCCTCTGACAATACTAAGCAATCTTCAATTCTACTCTAAGTCTTTACACTGTATTGCAATATTGTACAAATATTAGAGCACAAAAACTATTCCAAACACCATGGTTATCTTCTTTTCACAAAATCAATATTTATCCAGTAGTGTGGAAGGGAAGCGATATTAGAGCATTGTTAGTCAGCAGGGAAATGGGCTTCAAGTCTTGGTTGCTGCTGAGCTCCTGTATACCTTACAGACGGCTTGGCTTCCTACATGCTATTGTCCCAGCTGTGAACAGCAGAAGTCCTCAGGCTGAAATCCACTCAGTTATAGGTTATGGGTGTGGGAGGTGCTGGCAGAGCCTTTTTTTCAAGCTGGGCTCGTGAATGGAATTGTTTTTCTCTTTGCTCCAAAATACTCTGAGAATTTGTTGATCCTTAGGGCTTGCTGCTAAATCAATTTCTCTGAATTGTCATTTGGGGGAAGATGGAGGTATGTGGAACATGGGATTTCAGCTGTAGGAGTTGGGAGGTGTTTGTTTTTTGCAGGATTTGGGGGTCTGGAATGAGAATGTTTAGCTTTTTATGCTTATGATGATGGTTTTGTTGCTGAAGGGACTGGTTTTGTTTTCTGGGTTTATATTCTAAATCTCTGTCCAGGTATCTAGAGAGTTTTAATAGGTGGGGTTTTATGTGTTTTTGTTTAAACAAAGTAGAAAAAAGTTCATTTTCTTTGAACTTTGCCTTTCTTATTGACTAAAATATCTAGAATCATTAGAGCCTCTTCCTTCCCCAACCACCTCCTTCTCTTCCTTTTCGCTCTTTGCCTGGGATCTTGCTAATTTCTTCAAAAAAATTGACACCATCTGGCAAAAGCTTTCACCCTCTGTTTACATCCTTTTTTGCTTCCTCCCAGACTGCATTCTCTCCTTCATCCTAGTCTCAGCTCTCCCTTTCCTCTTCCTTATCTTAATTTTGTATCTGTTTTGGCTCCATCCCTTCAGCCTTCAAACAAACAGTGGTTTCCTCAACCGTTAGAAACCCTTCCTGTGTTCATCTTCCTTTTAAACTACTGCTCAGTGTCCCTCCTCCTCTTCATGTCCAGATTTCTTGGGTGCAATGCTGACTGCCAGCCTTCGTCAATTTCTTCTCTCATACTCGCTTGACTCTCCAGCATTCAAGTTTCTGCTATATCTTCCTCTCAACCTAATGGACCTTTCCGAGGTCACCTGGACAGATTCTGTGGCTTCTTGTCCATTTTCCTTCTCCATGTTAAATTAAGGCTATGTCTAGATTACAGGCTTCTTTCGGAAGAAGCTTTTCCAGGAGAGAGCTTCTGAAAAAACTTCTTCCGAAAGAGAGCGTCTACACTGCCCAAGCGCATCTGCTTTTTTGAAAGATAGCATCTACACTGAATGGACGCTATCTCACATTTCAGCTGTGATTACAGTGGACAGAGTGACCACCAGGACACCTGTGCTTTTTCCTCTTTCCTCTTCTTTTGAAAGAACTCCCTCTTCCCTGTCCACACACACCTTTTTCCGAAAGAACTCTTTTGGAAAAAGGCTTTTTCCTCGTAGAAAGAGGTTTATCAATGTCAGAAAACCCTCTCTGTTCTTTTGATTTTTTTCAAAAGAACGTGATTGCAGTGTGGACCAAAGTAAAGTTTTTTCGGAAAAATAGCCATTTTTCTGAAAAAACTGCACTGTAGACATACCCTAAGTCTCCCTGTCTTTGAAGTCAAGTATATTTTACTTTAAAAGCACTGTCTTCAATAGAACTTAAGTGAATGCTTAAGGTTGAACATGTGCTTAAGTGCCATGCAAAATAGGGCAAACCTAACACTCTTTGGCTGCGTCTAGACTAGCATGATGTTCCACAAATGCTTTTAACGGAAAAGTTTTTCCGGTAAAAGCATTTGCGGAAAAGAGCGTCTAGATTGGCACGGATGCTTTTGTGCAAAAGCACTTTTTGCGGAAAAGTGTCCGTGCCAATCTAGACGCAGTTTTGCGCAAGAAAGCCCCAATCGCCATTTTTGCCATCGGGGCTTTTTTGCGCAGAACAGTTTTTACCTGTCTACACTGGCCCTCTTGCGCAAAAGCATTTGCGCAAGAGGGCTTTTTCCCGAGCTGGAGCAGCATAGCATTTGCTCAAGAACACTGACAATCTTACATGAGATCGTCAGTGTTCTTGCGCAAATTCAAGCGGCCAGTGTAGACAGCTGGCAAGTTTTTCCATAAAAGTGGCTGCTTTTGCGGAAAAACGTGTTATTTCAAACCTGGCTTTTTTTTTTCTGATTTGTCCTCTCATACAGTTACTGCTGTTAGTTTCCTCTTTGTCCCAATTTCTTCCATGAACTCCTGTGTTTTTTGAAACATTGTGCCCAAAGTGCATTTGGAACAGATTATGTTGTTGGGTCCCAAGACCATGGAGTCTTCAGATGCCATCATATGGAATGGGTTGGGAGTTAACTTGAGTATATGCTAGATTTTCAGTAGGCCCCACATACTGATATCACTTGAAGCATTTGAAAATAACCCAAAACTGTTTTCCCAAGACATTTATCAATATAAAATGCAGGATGGTTAAGTTGGATTTTATGCCTGAATACTATGGACACTCTGTACACTCAATCCTCTCACTACAGTTATTTTATTACTTTTGTATCTGATAACCAAAAACGCACAAGGTACTTAGTAGAACAAATACAAGAACATTGTCTTGGCCCTACGCTGTCATCAAATTATGCATGCAACTCCCCGCCCCATACATTCTTTAATGATAGCACTGGTAATAGTCTGTGTGGTTGAGCAGCCTTTGCTTTGCTCCAACCTGAAGGAATGTTTCTAAATGTTATATACTCCAAGGCCCTAGTGCACACCATGGCTCTGAGTTACACAAATGGAATTTGTGCTAAATACTCAATCTGACGCTCCAGTTCTACATCCTCTTTTCTGAATATCTATGTGGAGCAATATAATCTTGTATGTAGACTTAGATTACTTTATTATGCTACACATTTTCTAATGTTCCTAACTTCATTATTTCTGAATGGTATTTCCTCAATTGTGTCAAAGTGATTCTTCTTTTTTTGAGGAATCAGTTCATGTCAAATGTGAAGCAAAGCCAGCGTAGAGTTACAGTGCAAAAATGAGACATGTGGAACATTCTATCAGGAATAAAATGGTGGTTTTCATTATTTTCAAATTGCAAAAATGGCGAAGCAGAATTTTATCAAACTTCTCAACACAAATTCTCTTCAGCGTTATGATTTGCCATATGAAATTTCACCACAAAGTGTCAAATTTTCCCCCCAGAAAATTGAAATCACCTAAAAGCAGTTTTCAAATAGAAATGCCTATTTGAATAGAAATATACCAATATTCTTCCCAGATATAATCACACACTGTTTATGATTGTTATAGCATTGATGTTTATATAAAAATCAGCTAAATTCATTAAAATCAGTCAGTTTCTTTGTTGTTATAAGACACAAATCTCCATCAAAGAAAACAATCTTAGTTTTAGGTCCTTTCTAACATGGAGACTTATGCAGTGATGATAAATATTGTTTTCATTCTTGTTTTAACAGGTACTGTATATTTTAGAGTGCAATAATCTTCATATTTAAGACAGTTTAGAATGGTAGCAAGCTAGAAAGAAATTCATTCTTCTGAGCCGCAAAAAAAAAAATTAGAATTTACAAAGTGTAGTCTTGCCATTTTGACCATCAGTAATTATACTATTTTTATGTTAATGTAGAAACCCCTTGAAAGGGGTGTTTAAGTACTAATTATCTATTTACAAAAGAATGGCTTTGGAAATGCAGCGAGAAACCCTGAGCTGTATAGGGAT